CAGCTTTTAAATATTCTTTTTAATAGGTATATTAACCCTTATCTGTGCTACATGTTACACATAACTTTTTTTTTTTTTTTTAGTATGTGAGTTGGTTTTTGTATTTGTTTATGGTAATTTTTGACAGCAGAAAAGTTTTGTATATTTCTAGTCAAATTATTTGAAATCCAGCTGCAGTTGGAAAGCCTTTCTTTCCTAAAGAAGAGGAACTCACTCATGTTTTCTTTCAGTACTTATATGATTTCATTTTTTTCTTTCATTTTTTTTTTTTTTTTTTTTTTGAGATAGTCTCACTCGGTTGCCTTAAGTAGAGTGCCATGCCATCATAGCTCACAAGCAGCTTCAAACTCTTGAGCTCAAGCTGTCCTCTTGCCTTGGCTTCCCAAGTAGCTGGGACTGCAGGCACCCACCGCAATGCCCTGCTAGTTTTTCTAGTTTTAGTAGAGATGGGGAGAATCTCACTCTGCTCAGGCTGGTCTCAGGACCATCCACCTTGGCCTCCCAGAGTGGTAGGATTATAGGTGGTCTCATTTTTTAATTATTTGTGTCACTGGTCTTATATGGAGTTTATTTTTATGTCTGGCATGAGATATCAGTCTAATTTTATGTTTTCCAAAGAACTAATTGATTCTCCTAGCACTGTTTCTTTACAAGCTCATCTGTAACTCTATAATTTGAAGTGCCACTTTTATCATATACTTGTCTCACACGTACTTGAATCTGTTTCTCAAATTTCTGCTATGTTCTTTTGGTCTCTTAATTACTGTGCCAACTAAAACACTTTTATTTATAGAGGTTTTATGTCATATTTTAATTCAAGTTAATGTTCAGTAGTATATTTTAATAAGATTGTAGTTAATATAGTTTAATATGTTTTAAGATGAGGGGCTTGTATTTCCCTTAGAGCTTTCCTTTTTTTAGTGTTTTTCTATTTTTGCCAGTTTACTCTTTTTTTTTTTTTGAGACAAAGTCTCAAACTCTTGCCCTAGGTAGAGTGCCATGGCGTCACAGCTCACAACAACCTTAAACTCTTGGGCTTATGTGATTCTCTTGCCTCAGCCTCCCAAGTAGCTAGGACTACAGGTACCTGCCACAACACCCAGCTGTTTTTTGTTGTTGCAGTTGTCATTGTTGTTTTAGCTGGCCTGGGCTGGGTTCGAAAGCACCCCCCTTGGTGTATGTGGCTGGTGCCCTGCCTGACTGAGCCAGTTTACTTTTTCCATGTGATATTGATTTTAATGTCCATTTATCTATTTTTATTATAACAAAGCTTATTGGATTGTATCAAGCCAATAAATTAACAAAGGAAGACTGCCATTGTTATGATACGTAGGTGTAGGTGTCTTATCCAATTACAAGGGATATCTTTATCTTTGTTTAGTTCTTTTTTTGTGTATTTCAGGAGTATTTTAAAGTTTTCCTCACATTTTTTGCTAAATTTATTCTTATCTTCCTTGTTGAAGTGAAAATATTTTCTCTGCCATTATATGTTCTCATTGGTTATTGTTTTACAGATGATTGATATTAATTTCTCTGTGTTAAGTTTATTATATCCTGCTACTTTAGCGAGTGCTTTAATTTTATTATCAATTCTCATAATAGGAGAATGAAGTCGTTTTCATATTTTTACTATTTTATGCTGCTATTTTATTTGTCTTTTTAATTGCATTTACTCATGCCTTTAGTACAGTGTTAAATGCTATAGAGATATGTGTAGTAGGCATTCTTGTCTTATTCCTTTTGGGGGGGGGAAATACCTTCAATAATTCCCTACTTATCAAGGTGCTGGCTCTAAGACTGAGGTTGATGTGTTTCATTAAGCTAAAAAAGTATCCACTGATTTCTGTTTTTCTTTGAGTATTTTAAAATGGGTGTCCAGTTTTATCAAAAACAAATTTCAGAGTCTTAGGGATAAACAGGGATAAACATACCATTTTTCTTTCTTTCTTTCTTTCTTTTTTTTGTTGAGACAGAGTCTCACTATGTCACCCTCCATAGAGTATTGTGGCATCACTGCTCACAGCAGCCTCAAACTCTTGGACTTAAGTGATTCTCTTGCCTTGGCCTCCCAAGTAGCTGGGACTACAGGTGCCTGCCACAATGCCCAGCTATTTTTTTGTTGTTGTTGCAGTTGTCATTGTTGTTTGGCAGGCCTGGGCCAGGTTCAAACCCTTCCCCCTTGGAGCATGTGTCCGGCTCTGTAAACACTGTGCTGTGGGCACCAAGCCAACATACTACCACTTTTCTCTGTATCAATAGGGAGTATTATATTAATGAATTTTGTAATAGTGAACCAGCCCACAGTGTTCAAATTTATACTCCTGGAATAAATTTTTTCCACTTTTAGTGCTCTTTACATTCAGTTTTAGAGTATTTAGATTATCAGATTTTTGTAGAAATTGTCTTGAAAAAATCTGAGCCTAATGCTTTATTTATGGGGTAGTTTCCTGATAACATTAATTTTTTCTCCGAGTAATAGATCTATTTTCGAAAGTTTTTTAAACAGATTAAATTTTATAAACTATATTACAATCAGATTAAATTTTATAAACTATGTTTCTTTATTCCTTTTTCTAAAGTTTTAGCTTTCTTTACTAAGTCTGTAGAGACTAATTTTCTTTGTAATTTCCTTTGTCTTAATTCTATATTCTCCATGTTAATTTTACATATTTGTATTCTTTCCCTTTTAATAAGTGTTATTTTGATTTTTTTTAAAAATTCAGGATTTTGATTAATTAGATTTACTCATTTTTGGCTAACTACTTCCATGCATTATTTTTACTGTTTTTCATATGCTGCTTTTTAAATAGTTTGTTGTTTCTGTGTTTGTTTGAGCTGGTAATTTAATTCATGGACTTTTAAAAAATTGATTGAAATATTCAAGACTATAGGCTTTTTTCTAATTACTACTTTAAATGTATCCCAAAGATTTTCATACCATGCAATGGTTTGGCATCATTTCTTGGAAATTTTATAGTATCTTTAACAGATGGTAGAAAATTAGAATTATATTGTAGTTATGTGTATAATTATGGTAAGATTTCTGGAAAAACTTTTTTTGAACGTTGTCAAATTATGACTGCAGCGACTGCTTATGTTTAATGAATGTTTATCATGTATCCATCACTGGGCTATATGGTTTGTGTACATTATCTCAGTTAAACTATATAGCATCACTTGCTGGTACATATTATTTCTCCATTTTCAGAATGGGAAACTATACCTTAGTGGAATTTATGTAATTTGTTCAGGGCTGCATATGTGTAAGTTGTTCTTAATTGAAATTTAAATCCATTTCTGATTCTAAAGCCTAAGGCTTTTACTTAAGCAGTAATATTGTGAGGTCACAGAGGTGTTGAGCAATATGGCATATTCAGGGAATGTTAGTAGCTCAGTGTGACTGGAGTGAAGTGAGCACATAGTGATATCAATTCAGGCTTGGGCAAATAGTTCATTGAAATCCTCATAACTAAAATGGAAAACATGAAGCAAAATAGGTTTATTTAAAATGATAGGTAAGATCAATGTACTTGTTGGACAACAAAATAGAACTATCTGCTAGTACGGTGAGTATATGGATCTGGAGGCCTGCAGAGTGATTTGTGCTTGAGATGTGAATTTGGGTATCATTAGCTTATAGATGGTAATTTAAATAATGGATTTTGAAAGTGGTAACCCAGGACATTATGTACGGTGAGATCAGAAGGTATAGGAAACAATGAAACTTGGATTTAGTGGAGAAAGAGCCTGAAAGGAATCAAGGACAAAATAATCAAAATGCTAGGAAGAAATCTAGGAGATCATGGTATCTCAGGTGCTAAAGGAGAAGTGTCAAGAAAAGAGAAGAGTCATTAGTGTCATACGCTCTGAGAAAATAAAGAAATATAAGATCAGAAGTGTTTATTAGATTTTATGGTACCTGAAAGGACAAGTAATATTTTAATAACAGATCCAATGGAGGACTGGTGAAGAAGAAGAAAATGGAGGCAGGGATTATATACCATACAATAAAATTTATTCATGAAGAGTAAGGGTGAAAGGCTGGTGATTGCTAGTAGGAGGTTCAGGGTACCTCCCTTCCCCCTCGGTGCTTCCCTTCTTTAGCTTCCTTCTTTTCTTATCTTTTCTTTCCTATTTCTTCCTCTCCCACCCTTCCTATATTCTAGCCACTTTCCCTCCTTTTTCCCCCCTAATATGAGACATTTAAATATTTAATGCTATAGGATGAGAATTTAACTTGGGCAACAATGTGACATCTTGTCTTAATTATACCAATTAGTATGAATGACATGAAGAGATGTTAAAATATTAAGTTATTAGATCAGAATGATACTTTTAATAGTTTCTTGAATGCAGGATCATAGCCACATATGTGCCCTTAAGTAAACATACTTATTCAATAAAATTTAATAATGTTTAAAATAATAGGGAAAATATTAACACTGTGATAGATGCTTTCCATATTTTAGATAATTTAAACCTCATCAGCAACTCCATGCCAATTTTATAGATGCAAAAACTAAGGCACAGGGAAGTCAAGTAACCTTGCTCACTTTTCTAACTTTGTATGACAGTATGGTTGTAGAACTTATGCTCTTAAACACAAGATTGTATTTTTTCTCACTACAGTAGGTATTGTCATATCTTTAAAAATTCATGTGTAATATTTTGTGAAAAATTAATGTTCAGAATTAGAAGTTGAAATATTTTGATGTTTTAGAGAATTCTCCCTCAGTATACAGAATAGTGAAGTTAAAAAGTTCTGAAAAGGTATACTAAGTACAAACATGAATTATAATTCCAGTTTTCTGTATTTGAGTTAAAAAAAATTGAAATGCCTGTGGGTGAAGTTTTATACAGTGGGACATGTAATATCTCAAAAACACAGTATTGCTTCATAATAAAAGTATAAGATAATTAAATGATATCTTAGTGTACCAATGAGAAATTGGTATCTTTTTAGTTTGGTAATACCTAATGGCCTTATACATGTCTTTCTTCAGGGAAAAATGCAATTTCCATTGTGAACTGCCTTCCAGAATTTATGGTAGAACTTCGCTGACGTTGCTACTGATGCCAATGTGGAATAAAGGTCTTTATAATTTAGAAAGTCAAAACATATAAATGAGTTGCAGTCAAAATTGACTCAGTTATTTTTAAATTTTAAAACACATAGTACAAGTTTGTTTGAAATTTTAGGAAGAACATTTGAAAATAAAGTAATATATATATATATACAACCTGTTTATTTTGCCCTTACCCATATTGTTATCTTATCATACTTGATAATTGACTTTCTTTTCATGACCTTTGTATTAGAGACCTAACCACAACCTAATTTGTTATGAAACTAATTGTGAAAAAAAAAAAATCAACATTATTTTCCTGTATAAACAATTTAGCAAACTTAAATTGACTTTAGCATAAAAAAATCTTTTCTTGTTAGAAAATAAGACCTTAATTTAGAGATGGTTTTCCCTCTTAACTCATTTTATTATTATAAATGTTTAACTGGTTGACTTGCCTAGTGGGTCGTAAGCAAGCATCTGACTGCTTACTGCTGTCTCCTTAGTCCCTAATGCCCATACCTGGTACTCATAAGGCATTCTAGTGCTGTTTTTTATTTACTTTTCTTCTTTTATTAACTGAATGACTTTTTCTAAACTAAACCAATGATTATATAATATGTATGAATAGTGAATATTTTCTTTGACTTGGAAGTGTACTGTTACTGGTAGCATGTTAGTATCTAAAAACTAATACATGATAAAACTATTTTGCTTGCCAGGATTTTACGTGGAAATGTGATGTTAAATGTAGAAACACTAGTTTTAGATTTCAGATAATAGTCTCTGAGGAATAATCATAGAATGATGATTTTCAATCTTAACTGCTTTTATTTCCCTCACCCTTCTCCCTTTCTTTCCCGTTTATTCTTAATTCCCTCAACCCTCAACCTGTCCTACCTCTGTTTTCCTTTTTATAATCCTTGTTGCTTGTTGTTGTTATTCTTTAGTATCTGGAGTCCATCTTTCATCAGCGTCTCCTGAGATTGTACTGGACCATGACCACTCTTCTCCTTCAGTTGGCTGCCTCTCTTCCGATGCCATCATTTCATCTCCAGAGAATATCCATACAGATAACAGCATTGTGAGTCACAATGTTCCTAAAGCACAGGTAAAGAGAAGCATATTTTATTTATTTATTTATTTGTTGCCCTTGATAGACTGCCATGGCATCATAGCTTACAGCAACCTCAAACTCTTGGGCTCAAGTGGTATTCTTGCCTCAGTTTCTCATTTTTAGTAGAGATAGAGTCTCACTAATGATAAGAGCTCAGGCTGGTCTTGAACTCATGAGCTCAAGTGATCCACTCACCTCAACCTCTCAGAGTGCTAGGATTATAGGTGTGAGCCACTGTGCCCAGCTGAAGCTTTTTTTTTTTTTGTAGTTTTTGCCCAGGGCTGGGTTTGAACCCACCATCTCCGGTATAGGGGGCTGGCACCCTATTTCTTTGAGCCACAGGCGCTGCCCTGAAGCATATTTTTTAAAGGAAGTTTTCATATGTGAAAAATTGCTCCCTGATTTACTTGATGTTTTTCTGATTTCCTCTTGAACTCATTTATTATTATTATATTTTTTTGCAGTTTTTGGCCAGGGCTGGTTTTGAACCCACCACCTCCAGCATATGGGGCCAGCGCCCTATTCCTTTGAGCTGCAGGCGCTGCCCTTTAACTCGTTTTTTTAAAAGAGGTATTTCTGCAACAGATATTATAGTTTTGAGGGTAATATTTAATATCTAGAATTAAAAAACCCTCCTCATAATGTTTGTCTTATTGCATAATTGCAAAGTATTTAAGCAACCTCAGTTACCAAAATATGATTTGAGTATCTCATTTATTAAAATTGATTTAGTTTTGCATTTCACATGCTGAACTTCAAAAAGGAAAATACTTATAAAAATGAATGATTATATGTCTTTCAGATGACCTTTTATACTCAGGTATTAGTGCATCTATTTTAATTTTAGAGGAAAATTCAAGAAGATAACAGTCTTACAGTTTATTCATCAAAATACTTATCAAACTGGGCATTGTGCTGGGTGCTAGGGTTAGGCCCAGTTTTCAACGTGCTAGACACAGTTTTGAGTCACCTATTAAATATATCATAAAATGATGATCAATAGGGGTCATTGATGATTATAAATTTTGATTAATGGTTTAAAATACAAACGAATTCCAGGCCTGTGTATAAATTTAGGAACTGGTAGCAGATATGTCTATACTTAATCACACACTTTCATGTATAAGAAAATGTTTTAAGTAGTTTAGTGCATTGCCAGCAAAATAATAAGCGATTTAGATTTTAAAGTTGAGAGGACATTTTGTATCTTGCAGCAAAAATCAGATTGTTGTAACAGTTTGAGGTCTTTTGTTGATTTACTTTAAGGGTGAAGTAATTTTGGAACCTTTGCTGCAACTTAATTTCCAAATGTGGTTTCTTGTGCCCTTTGGATGTTTTCATTATTGGTATAGTGTAAACTTTCCTCTCTTTTGTGTGTCTCTGTGTGTGTGTGTTTTAATGTGGTTTAGATTCAGCAATCAACACACACTCATCTGGATATCTCACTTTTTCCATTGAATTTAACTGATGAAAAAAATAATGGAACAATTGCCCTTGTGGATGATTCTGAGGATCCTGGAGCCAATGTATCAAACATAGAGCTTCAGCAAAAAATTTCAAGTCTAGAGATTAAGCTCAAAGTATCTGAAGAAGAAAAACAGAGAATTAAAAAGG